GTATGAGCCTGGCTATTTTGCAGGTTTGTTTTTAGTCCTTCTGGGCAAGAGGCAAAAGGATTTTGGGTCCACATAGGTGTATACTCATGGGGGAGGAATTTTATTTGTGGCAAAGATGGTGGCGTGTAGGGTCAGGGTAGATTTGTCGAAATAATTTATTTGTGACTAATATATACAACTATAGTGATCAGTTCAATAAGTAACGTGTACTGGTTAAGCAAGTAGCCCTAGTGGTGCAACAGTTAAGTACTTGGCTGCTACCTAAAAGGGTGACTTCCAAACAAGATATTGCAGGAAGATCTGGTAAAGGTATAGGCAAAAGGGGCCACATAGCAGGCAGAGTTGATAAGACAGCTTCCTAGAGGAGGGAGTGGATGGTCAAGCTGAGTCAGAAGATTCCAGGCAGAAGGAATAACATGTAGAAACCCAGGCCACAAAACAGTCAAGTGCTGTCTCCTTAAAGTGTCAAATGTAGTCTGGCGGAAATGGTGCGCAGTGCACAGGGTGTAAGCGGCCCAACGTGAGGTGGACTAGGTTGGCAGAGGTGAATTTGTGAAGGGTCTCTTGGGTCAGATTTGGAGCTTAGACTTGATCTTGTGGTTCATGGGAAAACATGGAAGAGTTATAAGTGCATGGTCAGAGCTGTGTTTTTCTTTATTTTTTAAATCCCTCTGGCTTCTGGGTGTTGGGTAGACTAGAAGGGGAGACCCTGGAAGCAAGGAGATAGAGGAAAGATTTGTGTAGTCCCCATCCGGTGAGAGATAAGGCCCTAAAATAAAACAGTGACAGTGGGGATTAAGGAAGGAGAGGAAATTTTTTAAAAATTTAGGCACTAAAACAGAGGACATGCTGACCAGTTAGATGTTGAGGAGGGAGGAGATGTCATGGGTGATTTACAGGAGCATGGCTAATTTTCTTGTGGACCTAGGACCAGGTTAGACACCATTGGAGACCCTGAGAGACAAGTATGTCAAATTGTTCCCAATCTTAGAAATTCATAGTATTATGAAGGAGATAAGAGTTCATATGAAATAATGAAATAACAGTGCAGACAGATTATAAGCATAGTAAGTGCTGGAGGGATCAGGAAAGTGATCGTTGTGGGCTGAAGTGGCTATGAAGCTCTCCATGTCATTACATCTAATGGGCTGTCTTTGGTTCTCATCTTACTTGACCTCTTAGCCACATTTCACACTGTTCACCACTCCCTTTGTCTTGAGACACTTTTCTTCTTGCCTTTTATGACACACTCTCTCCTGATCATCTTCTATTTCTCTGGTTCCTCTTTCTCGGTCTGTTCAGTAAGGTCCTGCTCCTCTCACAGCAAGTTAAATACTGTTACTGTGCTCCAGGCCCTGTCCTAGGCATCGAGCTACAGCCTCACATGATCTGGCCCCTGACTAAGTCTTTTGCCTTATCTCACACTACTTTCCTCTTATCCTCTGTGCTTCAGCCACCCTGACCTTCTTTTAGACTTTCCAGTGTGCCATGGTCTGTCCCACCTCTGGGCTTTTACACTTCTGCTCTCTCTGCCTGGAACACTCTTCTTCTCTTATATCCTAGTTCCTGCTCTTCTTTCAGATCTCAGCTCAATATGCCCTTCCTCTGGAATAGGGTGACCATATAATCTGTTGTCCAAACTGGGATACATTTGAGAGGGAAAAGGGATACTATTCACACTAACACCAGGACAACCTGCGTAAACTGAACCTGTCGTGACTCAGGGTGGCCATCTCTGATTCCTCAATGTAATTGGGTTCCCCCATGCTCACATTGTTCTCTGTGCTTCCTTTCATAGCTCTTACCATGGTTTCCAGTGATACACTGAGTGACTATTTGTTTAAACTCTTTCTCCCCAGTGGACTATATACTCCGTGAAGGCAGACATGTCCCCATTGTGTCTTTAGCACCTGAGAGGCATTGTGCCACATAATAGGTTCTTAATCAACACTTTATGAGTAAATAAACTAATGCTTTAAATCAGATTTGTATTGTGTTGTGGAGAGTACAAAGCATTTTCATCTCTATGATCTTGTTTGGTTCCCATTGGTCTTAGTTATCTAGTGCTGCTATAACAGAAGGACCACAGGTGGATTGCTTTAGCAAAGAGAAGTTTATTCTCTCACAGTTTAAGAGGCTAGAAGGTCCAAATTCAGTGTTCCAGCTCCAGGGGAAGGCTTTCTCTCTCTGTCATCTCTGGGGAAGGTCCTTGTCATCAATCTTCCCTTGGTCTAGGAGTTTCTCAGTGCAGGGACCTCAGGCCCAAAGGACGTGCTCTGTTCCGGCTCATCCTTCTTGGTGATAGGAGATCCCTCTCCTCTCTGCTGGAGTCTCTCTTTTATATCTCAAAAGAGATTGACTCAAGATACAACCTAATCCTATAGATTGAGTGTTGCCTCATTAATATAACTGGCTCTAATCTTGCCTCATTAACAACATAGAGGTTAGGATTTACAACACATAAGATAATCACATCAGATCACAAAATAGTGGACAACCATACAATACTGGGAATCATGGCCTAGCCAAGTTGACACACATTTTTGGGGGATGGAATTCAATCTATAACACCATTGCTACCTGGCCATGTTTTCTCATCTCAATCTACCAAGGACACTGAGATTTCAGTTGGTTGCCTATGATCTCATAGTTAGTAAGTAACAGAGACAAGTCTAGAACTCTCAGGTCTTCTGACCCTAAAATCCAGTCTTTATTCCAATAGGGTTTGAAGAAGAGAAAAAGGTAGATGAATCCCAGATTTACCATCTCAGGAACTGGAAGGATGGTGCTGACCTTGAGAAAAATGGGGGATGGGGTGTCTGAGAACCATTTGTCAAATTTCAATTGCCCCATGAAAATCTGAGTAGCATTACAGGCTGCAGAGAGCTCAGAGTTGAGCCACAGATGGCCTCTTAGCCTCAGGGGGCTTAAGCAGATGGATTTTAAAAAGAGCTTAGAAGGAGGTAGGATTATGAAGTCCTGGGACCTATTTAAAATTGTGTTTGTCTGTATCCCAGCACCTAGCACACTGCCTGGCACCTAATAATTTTTTAGTGAATGGATAAGTGAAAAAATTGGTAGTTCTCAAAATTGAATGGGCTAAAGGAACTTCTAAATGGAGGGTTGATTTGGTATTCATAAGGGTATCAAAAAGGATGATAAGTCATCAGGTTGTTTGAGAGGAACACTGACATAAAGCAAGTATTGTTCCTACATTGTGGGCAGCAAAGTCGCCTGGATCTTAGTACATTTTGCTTGGATACCCTGCTTTTTAGAGAACCTACTTCTAGTTATTTTCCCCTTCTCTATATTAGTATATAATAGCTGGAAGAAAATAACGTATGTTGTACCTCTTTGTAGTTATGACTACCAAATTAATAACTTACAGCCCATTGGCTGGAATGAAAACGAGTAAAATGCTGTAAATTATAAATAAAAGTTGTTAATGCTAATACAGGGTATAACATATACCTCATTTTGGCACAGCTTTGAAATAACGTAAATGATTTAAGGGTCTTGAGAGTCTGTTTGCCTTTATTTTAATTTGGAATAGTTGGAAAGCATCGAGTCACCACCATTTAATCAATAATGCTATGTTCTTCCATTGGAACTTAGCCCCCTCAACTTGGAGTAGATAAAATTTCTGATTAACTGATTTTCTGTCTTAGGACAGGAAAATCGAATTATTTTATTTAATATGTTGACATTTCTCTTCATTTGGAGTTTTAATAAGCAGGGTCTAAATACGAATTAACATGTCTCCATTTTTTCCCCTTAACAAGGTCATCTGAGTTACAGATTTTAAAAAATGTGTGCTGTAAATACAGAACTTGTTGATAACTTTGAAAGGCAGCAGGATATAGTGGAAAGAGCAGGCCCTTTTGTCTCAGTGAGGGATTTTCTGTGCAAATAATTGAAACTTGTGTAAAAGAGGGGTTGTAGTCTAAGGATTAGGAACCCTGGTGGTGTAATGGTTAAGTGCTGGGCTGCTAATTGAAGGGTCAGTGGTTTGAATCCACCAGCCACTCTGCATGAGAGAAGACTTGGCGATCTTCTCTGGTAAAGATTACAGCCTAGGAAATGCGCCGGGGCAGTTCTACTCTGTCCTATAGTGTCGCTGAGTCAGAGTAGACTCAATGGCACACAACCACAACATTCTAAGGATCTAAGGCTATCTTGCAGAATCCAAGGGCAGGATGGGGAGCCTGCTCAGGAGGGTCTGGGACTAGGGCCTAGAGGCCTTCAGGGACTGAGGTGACTCAGACCATGTCTTCAGGGCTACGTGGTCTCTTAGCTTGACTTTTCTGTCTGCACCTGCTCCTTTCTTCTCTCAGCAGACTGGCTGCCTTTGCTTCTCTGTGCATGAAGCCAAGCACTGGCTGTATATCACTTACAGTTCCAAGGTCAGCGAGGCCCCCTGGCATGTCTGAGTTCCAAATCCCTGGAAGAGAGAGTCTGGTTATGTCATCTTGAGACAGATGACCACCTTGGTTTGTTCATTTGTTCATTCAAACCGTCTTTATTCTGTGCCAGGGCTGGGTTGAGGGTTGCAATTTTCAGAGAAGGGGAAGTATGGGCTTGGGATTCAGATAGACCTAGATTCTAATCCTGATTCCTCTCCTTACCTTGGACAAGTTAAATTACTTCCCTTAGCCCGAATTTTCTCATTTGTAAGATGGGAATAATGTTTTATAGGGTAGTTATGAAGACTAAAGTGAAATGGGGCCTGTAAAACCACGAGTACAGTGCCTGCCACATAGAATCATAACTGCCACTCAGTAGTGGTTGTGACTCTGAGCAATTTACTTAACCTGTCTGAATCTGTTTTCTTCATCTATAAAATGGAAAAGAATATCACCTACCTTAAGTGCTTATTTTGAGGATTAAAATACCATGATGTATACCAGGTGCCATGGGTTTGTACATAATAGACACTCAGTATAGTAGCTGCTCTTCTTCTTCTTATCATTATTAATTGCATTTTCTTCTCTTTATTCTAGTTCCCATTTGGCCGACGCTTGCCTTGTGATATCTACTGGCATGGAGTTTCATTTCACGACAGTGACATATTCTCTGGTCAAGTGAACAAGTTTCCAGGTATCTGCTGTTATTGTTGGCATTTAAAAATATTTCTATAGCTGAGTCTCAGGGGGCACTCTTCTACAAAAACATAACAGTGTTTAGAGATCAAACTTGAGGGCTCTTAATTGGGAATTGTGGCCTATACTCTGCTGCTGGGCTGCTACCTTGGGAGAGAAGTAAACTCAGAGATAATCAGGACTTAAACCATTAAGGGCTTAATGATTGGAGGTTCAAAAACTTAAAAGGATGACTTTCCTGGTCTAAGCCACTGGTGTAAGAACATGATTTTTACCTTTCAAGTTATAGGTGTGATTACAAAAAAAAAAAAACCCATTGCTGTTGAGTCCATTCTGACTCAGAGCGACCCTAGAGGAGAGAGTAGAACTGCCCCGTAGGGTTTCCAAAGAGTGACTGGTGGATTTGAACTGCTGACCTTTTGGTTAGCAGCCAAGTTCTTAACCGCTACACCACTAGGGCTCCGTAGGTGTGATATGGGAGTATAAGTAGGGGCTGTGTTCTCAAAATGAAACATTTAAAACATTTCGCTTGAATAATTTTCAAGAAACAGAAGTACTAAAATTCTAGGAATATATCAAGAAATAAGGTATCAGCTCCCCTTTTCTTTAAGTATCATGTTTAGTGACACCAGTCTCTATACTAAGTATTACAGGCTGCAGGCAGCCTCTGCCTTTTACTTAAGGCCACCATCTCAGTAAGATTTACCCTGCATGGAGGACTCTTAGTGCCAGAAAAGTGTCACAGCCAACGCTTTAAGATATCCTCTCAGACTGAATTGTTGGGCGGAGGGCTATGGGGACCATGGTCTCGGGGAACATCTAGCTCAATTGGCATAACACAGTTTATAAAGACATTGTTCTACATTCTACTTTGGTGAGTAGCGT